GTCAGCTGGGTGGAAACAGCCTCTGTGTGTTTCCACGGTGATCAATGATGGTCTGGTTCCTGCTGACCTGACCTCAGCGAGGCTCCGGCGCTCAGCATCCTCTCAGATCCTCATCGGTCAGTGATGGAGGATGAAAATGTTCCCAAATCCATAAAATAAATAAAGAAGAAAAACAAAAGCAACGAGTGAGAGAATTTACGAGAGCTCCGCCCCCCTGGGGTGGCGTGTTTCTATCGTGTAGATGTGTGTACAGAGACTCACAGTGATGTCATCAGGAGGATGTGACGGTATGATCGTGGTTTCAGTGAAGTCTGGCCTTCATCAGGTTTCACAGTGAGTAACAGAGTATTTACCGACGAATCTCACGTCAGTGTCGTTTCATGTGAGAGATGTGAAACACAGGACATGTTTGTCCAGCGTCCCCGTCGTCCGTGACTTTACTCTGTGAACATCTCACAGCTCAGGCTCAGCACAGAAGCACCTGTTTAAGAATATAATCATTAAAAATTAAAACAGAATAAAACTAAAACCATATGAAATTAAACTGATTTCTAATCAGATGATAACCACAGTAGAAACGTAGCGTATCATCCCTGTTGACCAAACACCTCAGCTTTTAAATCAACCAACATTTTCCCCATAACTTCCTCGTTTCCCAGTTTTTCACTGGTTGCATCTCCAGCATGAAACTGCAGCAGCCCGAGGAGCGCGCAGGCACGAGGACGAGCCTGCGGGCACGAGGACGAGCCTGTTCACTGTCCTCGTGTGTTTGCTGCTTATTGAAAGTCACAGCTTTTAAACTCGTGGTATTTGTTGTGATTTTTAATCTAAATTATTTATTACATATAAAGCACAACATGTAAAAATGAAATCACGTCACAGCGCTTTACTTTTAATGTATTGTCATTTTAATCTGAACGAAATAACAGCGAGCAAAGACGTGAGCGACTCCCGGGGTCAGCTGGATGCTGCGTTATTGATACTCTGTAATTCCCGCTATGATGCTCAGAGATTAATGCGTGATATCAACAAACAAACATCACCATCATCACTCTTCCACAGACAATAAAGTCAAAGCTCAACACATCATTAAAGAACATTTTTATTTCACTCTTTAAATTGAATCACACACTGAATGCGATATTAAAAAAAAACACAAGAAGAATCACGTGACCTACGGAGCAGCCGGGGGCGGGGTTATGAAGAGCCGTTAATGTGATTCGTTTGTCTTTGGTTTCCTCTGAAATGACTTCAGTCACTCACGCGTGCTGTTTGTGACGCATTCAGGCGACGTCTGTAAGTTATAGCGACAAAAAGGGGACAGGATCCACTCGT